AAGGTAGAGGATTCTGACTAAACAGAGCCAGCAGGATTCCTGCTAAAACCAGACTAAGTGGCCAAGAAAAGGGCCCAAGATCAGGGCCTAAAGGTACCTAACTAGAATTAAGTCAAGGAGAGAGTCCTTGTCAGTGTATTATTAAAATTTTAAATTTTAAGTGTTATTAAAAATCCTCTAGTGGCTCTCTCCCTCACTCGGTGCAAATGCTGGTCCTTGGAAGGACCCTTCCTTTCTCTGACTGCGCCTCTGTCACACCTGCCTACTCCACTCCAGCTTAAAGCCCCCCTGCTGTCTCTCACCAGTGCCAGGCACCCTTCTGCACTAGGCCTTCGTGCTGGTGGGCCCCTGCCTGGCATGCTCTCCCCCTGATAGTCCATGGCTACCTTAAACTGAAGGAATTTGAGAAATGGGAGGTGCAGGAAGGACTCTGTGACCTTCCCTGAAGCAAGTCATAGACCCTTGTGTGAGAGGTGCCCTCCCTATGCCCTGAGACCAGGAGCATCCTTATCTCTAAGATACAGACATCTACCACATCTTCCCACAACTTTTCATTCTTCATCAAACTTAGCACAAAAAGGCTCAGGTTTAACACCTTCTTTAGGTCTTCATTTCCTTGTGGAGGCTCCCGGGTCACCTGAAATGATGTCCCATGGATGTCATGGCTTCAAGGGGCATCCTGAAGTTACACATTTGGACCCCCTCAGCTCTTTGATCCCAAGTACACATGCAAGACCTGGGGCAAGATGGGGACGGTGACCTCAGAGAATCCCAGGGCTCCTCTGGCACTCTGATGGTCTTTGTCCTTCCAAGAGGACACATCCAACAGGCTGACCACAGGCCGCAGGGGGAAGGACTCAGGTGTGGAGGGGTAGGAGTACCGGAGAGGTGATGGTAAACACCCCATCTTTCCCACTGTGGCCTCTAGGGGGAGCTCTCTGCGGTGAGCCAAGGACCCCCCACGGTCTCCTGCACCCGGTTCTGAAGCTCCCGTGAGCCGGCTTCCTTCCTTCGCATGGCTTGTCTCGCAGCTTTTTCGGAGTGTGAAGGCAGAACTGGGGTGGGGCTAAGGGGGCATCAGCAAACCACACGGAGAAGGTCTCCTGACTGCTGGGGCGGCCACTGGTCCCAACTGAAGTGAGAGGGGTTGCAAAAGAACCCCCTCTGAGTGGGGCTGAATCCCGTATACACACCACGAGGCCAGGCTCCACACCCCTCCCCCCACAACGCTGCCCACGAGGCTACCCTGCCCCTCCCCCACAAGGCCGTATCTTTGGGGCAAGAGGAGGCTGCCGAGTAAGGCACAGTGGCGCTTGGAATTGGAAATCAGGTCGCGTGTTTGCCTCATGCTAACCAGCTCCCTGGAAACCTCCAGGGGAGAGATGACTCAACACACTCAGCCCCGAATCCCCAGGGCTCCTGGCAATCTGCCTCCCCCCACAGCCCAGCCACAGCTGCCGGGGCCGAGGGGGTGGGGGGTGAGGAATGCGGTGTGCCTCCTTTCTCTTACTCCTTCTGTTCTGTGCACATGAAGCAGCAAACACAAAAAGACCTTATTCACAGGCTCCCTCGCTTGCCCTCTATTGAAAGCTGTCTGAAAATGTAAATTCCTCAGAAGTCGATTCTTTTCAAACACTTTAAAGTTGTATAGTCCCACCAGGAGCAGTTAAAAGCCTTCCATGGGCAGGAGACTCCTTAAAAGTAATATTTGCATTTAAAGGAGAAACTTCCAAAATGGCCAGAAAACAGAACTAGCAGCTCTGACGTCAGGTTTGACAACACAAGGTGGAAGCCCAGTTTCTCTGGGGGTATGCAGGGAGGAAGCCCCCCCCCTTTGCTGCCTGTGCCCCGCCCCACCTCGGCCTTGCCGCCTTCATTCAGTATTGCCCTGCACAGGTGCCCACATCAGTCCTGGGTGACTGGGGACCCCACAACAAGGCAGTGCTGTCCACCAGAAACCCAAATCCAGTGAGCTGGACAAGCTTCTAAAAGAGCTAACGTCCCCCTCTCAGAGGGCCCTGGGCCTCTGCTGCCTTCACCCCAAGGAATCAGAAGGTTCTGGTCTGAGGCCCTCATCCGAGGAGCAGATCATTGGGGCAGCAGATGTGTCAGTGTGATGGGGCGTTTTACACCTTGTATTTGCAGACAGGTGTCTGCCCCTTCCTCCCCCCATCCCCTGCCACCCCCACTTCACCTTGCTTCCAGCTCCAGCTCCAGTCAGGTCTCCCAGGGTGCCCCTGCCTCCCCCAGAGGCTCTCCCTTGAGGTGGGGGTGGGGTGCCCTCTTCTCCCTCAGGTATCAAGTAAGAGTCAAGCTGAGATAACAGGAAAACGGGATTCCTTCTCTCCTCTCACTACCTCTCCCACCCCCTACTAAGAGACGGTTGGTTACAAAGGACATGTTTTTCTCCCTGATTATGTAGGATTTCATACTATATATTTGTTATCCACTCTTTTCACTTCTCACGGAAATCTTTCCATGCAGTATTTTTAATGGCTTCACAACTGATCAAATGAGACCGCAGAACTCACCATCAGGCCGGCTCCCAGTATGCCCAGTGCATATTGGCTGTGATAGCAGTCAGGCTCATTTCCAGGGAAGGGGGAACCTAGCTCCATCGGCTTTGACACTGAGGAAAAAACGGCTCATGACCTGTGCAGTGTACAGGGAGAGCAGGCTTTGCACTGGGCGTGACACAAAGATCCCCCTTCTTTCCTTCTTCATGTTCTGTCTCTCATGAAGTCAGCTTCCTACTAAGACTGACTCTTCTTGTGGTCGTGAGGTGGCTGCCAACAGCACCCAGTGCTACGAAGGGGGGCAGAATATGCCACCCCAAAATATGCCACTTTGGCCTAAGGATTATTTAAAGCTAAAAGCACTTAAAAAACAGCAGACGCAGGAAGGGCACAAAATCTCCCCTTTTCTTCCTGAAAGCACATTAAAAACTCCCATGTGAAAGATGCCATCCCTGTACCAGAAGGAGAGTAACAGACTTATCATCAAGGACAAGATATTAACAGAATTCTGTACAACAGACCTTGTTAAAATACTTTAGCTTCCCCACATAGTTTAGTAACTTTTCCACAGTTGCCTCTTTGTCCAACCTTATTTAAAAACACGTAGGTTTTACCATTTCTTTGGGTCTTCATTTCCTTATGAGAGCTCCCAGTCACATAAAATGTATATAAATTTGCATGCTTTTTCTCCTGTGAATCTGTCATATGTCAGTTTCATTCTCAAGCCCAGCTGAAAACCCCTAAGAGGGCAGAGGGAAAATGCTGCCTCCCCTGTAGCTGCAAAGGGTCTTTGTCCACATCCAGAGAGAGGGCCTCCAAGCCTGCACATTTCCCGGCATTCCAAGCAGGAGTCCTGTGATTCACTCCACCGGTGACTGGGACCAGGGACTGGAAAGACCTAATTGGCTTGGGCCATCCAGGGCTCCCATGAGTGGGGTTGGGGTTAGCTTCCCCTGCATAGACTGCATGAGGGAAGGCAGAATATAGGAATGAAAATTAGGTTAGTTTAGTTAAGGAAGCATAGAATCACCTGAGACGGTGATCAGCACATGTGCATTCCCAATACTGGTTTTCCCTTTTTTTAACAATCCACCTAATGATGGATGTATGTTTCTCTAATCTTTTACTGTTATTAACAGTGCTAAAATGAACATTCTTGAAGATACATACATTTCTGCATAATATTCCTTCTCAATGCCACTCTCCTCTGATTTCCAGGTCCCCCAAGACCCTCTTCAGACTGGCCTTACACCTCTCTCTTCATGTTTTGTTCCCCAAGAAAAAACTGCCTGACAACTTCACTATCTTTACCTGCATAGCCTGAGTAATGAAGACAGCAAGGAGTCAGGCCTGGGACACGTGACAATGAAATCCCGCTCCACAGCAACCAGGAAAGTTTGCCCCTAGGACCAGAAGTCCTGGTCAGATACACTTCTTGGCCCACCTACCATGTGTTTTTAGACTAATTCTTTACTCCTTCCTTTAAGGGAGGCACATCCTGCCAGAAGGTTGTATCAGAGAAATTATCTGTAGCCCCTTTCCTGTATCTGACCAGTGGGAAAATAGTGGAAGTCTACAGAAATATGACTGTAGTAAATGCTATTCTGTGCTACCCAGATCAAAGCACTCATTCCCCCTGGTGCCAGAAATGTTGGTACCTGACCGCTCACAGCTGTGAGAATTGCCCTTGGCTTAAAAAAAATGCTGCCTCACCCAAGATCCTACCACCTCCCAAAGGCATCATGAATCTAGTAACAGATCTGTAGAGGTGGAAAAATTTGCTCTTCTTCCCTTCTAGTTTCTTTGGTTGGTCTAATAACTAAATTGACATAAGACAGATTAACAGGAGAAAAATTAATTTAATTCCATATGCATGGGAGCCTATAAAAATATCAGACCCAAAGGCAGACAATGAAGACCATCTGAGCCGAAGAAAGGGATGGGGCCTAGGGCTTCGAGGTGGGGAAAGGCGATTCACAGGAAGACAAGAAGAGCAGATGTTTGGTAATCAGCTGTTTGCCCTGCCATGCTGACGTCTTTCAGATTAAAACCAGTCATCTCCAGCTGTGGGGGCGTATTGGGGGGGCCTTGGTGAGGGGGGAGCCTGGTAGACGTGGTGTCCTTCATGTGGTTGTAGATTAATGATACCGATAAAAAAACAAACAAAAAAAAAAAAACCCAGTCATCTCCGGTAGTAGCTCTCTTTCTGGTACAGGCTCCCTATCTAAAAATTTTAGGCAGTTAAGGAAGAGATAAATGTTTTTTTCTGAGTCTGCTGGGTGTTGACTGCCCTCAGCTCAAAATAATCCACATTTCAAAGTGGCACATTTTAGGGAGGCATATTCTGCTCACCTTTGGGTCTAATCTGGGCATAATAAGGCCTGGACTGTGTCTCATTTTAAGCAACTCTGAAAGACCACCCCAGCTCCAAAGCTTCTTATGTGTTCCAATCATCTATTGCTACAGAACAAACCACACCGAAACTTAGAGCTTTAAAACAACAATTTGTTATTTCTCATGATTCTGTGGGTTGTCAGGACTCAGCTAGACGGTTCGTGGTATAGCTGAGGTCACTCAGGCAGCTGCCTTCGGCTGGGCGCCTGGTGGGAGCCAGAGCACCCAAGGTGGTCTTTGATCCTCCAGCGTGTCTCTCCGCGTTGCCTCGTATAATATGGGCTTCTTGACACGTGGCCACTGGATCCCAAGGCATGTTTCGAGAGGACAAGCAGAGGCACTTACCAGGATGTGCATGCACCGTTCTTGCTGCCACATTAGGCAAGCCCTGAGGCCACACAAGGATGTGAATACCAGAGGCGAGGCATGGTTCACCAGGGACACGCATGTAATAATCTCCAGTCTGCCCTTCAGCTCCTAATGGTACAGAGCCACTCGCACAATAGTCATCCCCTCAAAACAAAAACCAACAAAACTTCCAAAGCATCTTTCCAGTCCTGAATCACTCTGAGGCTTGAGGCCCAGGATCTCACCCCCAAATCAGATCTCGGTGGGATGAAATTCTCCAGGTGTGATCCCTCCAGTGCAGCCCCTCAGATATGGTTCGTGGCCGAGACCTGGGAATTACCAACACCAGTTATCTCCCCAATTCCCACCTGACAAATACTAGTAAGACAGAGACAAGAAACATTCAAAGAGCTGAAGGGAAAAGGAGGCACAAAATAATCCCTAGCCCACAGCTATCACAAAGAAATCTTTCTACATGCTGCTTTAGTTGCATCTCAGAACTTTTAGTGTTTTCACTTTATTCAACTAAAATATTTCCTAATTTCATGTGTGATGTTTTAAGATGTTACTCAGAAGTGTATTGCTTAATTCCCAAATAGTTGAGTTTTTTCTAAATATCTTATTGTTATTCATTATTAATCATAATACCTCTGTGATTAATGGTTAATTCAATACCTCAGCTAACATACTCTGGATCTTTTCAATCCTTTGACACTTATTGAGACTTGTTTTATGGCCCAGCATATGGTCTGTCTTGGTGAATGTTCTATATGCTTTTTTATACCATCTGAAAATCCCTGTTTTTTACATAAAAGTAGTTCATTGATATTAAATAACTATTAGCATGGTTGGGTTTAAGTCTACCATCTTGGTTTAGTTTTTCTGCTGTCCTAAATGTTTTTTATTCCTCTGTTCACCCTCTCTCCGCTGTATTTTGGGTGAATTGAGTAACATTTACTATGCCATTTACTTCATCTACTAATTTTTTAGCTAAGCTTCTGGGTATTGTTTCTATTTTTTTTTTTCTAGAAACAAAACCATACATCTTTAACCTATCCATGCTACTGAACTCAAGCCTGCCTCTCCCCTCCTACCTGTGAACTGTCTGTCACTGACACCATTTCTCCAGTCCTGGAATCTGCTTACTGACGCATTCATCTATCATATGCACAGCTAATGAAGGATCATTATCCAGGATCATACAGGAAGAGGGGGCCAGGTCTCAAGCAAGGCATAAATAGAAATAAAGTTGACCTCTTCCACCACCAGAAGTGATGAGGCAATGCAATTATTAACTGTAAGACCAATGTGAGATGATGCTGTCACCGTGGAAAGAAAGGTCACAGTTATAAGGATGGAGCCCAGCACTCTATTCCGTTATCTCCTAAGCAGTCCTGGGCAGCTAGACTAAATGCGAACAAGTCAGCCTTCATGCACAAAAAGATCATTCAGGTGTAGCTAAGGTTGTTGAACTGGAAAAGCCTAAAAGATTATGGGTGATGTGGGGCCAATTTTCCACACTGGTGCATCTGAAGATGACCAGGAATATTCTGAAATCCTCACTGCGTGAGTCTAGATGGGGAAGTTTTGCACAGAAGCGCTTTATATAATTGCAAAGAAGTTCACAACATTAGGGCACTGATTAAAATAAAGTATGGTTAATCATATACATAATACTATATGTATTTGGCCCTTTGAAATGACAATGTCAGTCTATAGATGTTATGTAGAGAGATGCAGAATATATGGTCCAGTGAAAAAAGCAAGTGTCAGAATACTACCCATTGTGTAATGCCATTTGTCTTAATGTGTCATGGAGTGTGAGATCTATAATAGGAGGCATAGAATAGGGACTGTGTCTCATTTTGAATACTCCTATATTCCACACATAACAGTGATTTACACAGAGTAGGCTCTCAATAAATATTTGTTGACTCTAACAAGTACTTTGTTAAAAACCTGGATGACTAAACCCCTAGTTGCTAATAATAGGAAGCTGGACAATATTTTTTTCTTTTTCATTGGCCTTATTTTCTTGTTTCTACAACAAACATGCCGAGAAGAGGATCGTAGTGGCTGCCTTCAGCATGACTCTGTAATGAATACGTAACTTCCTCTGCAAGCCAGCACCGGGGGGTTTGCTCCCTGTTGTATCTGTCGGTGGCTGAGGGAGCTGGAGGCCAACAGAGGCTCTACTGAGCTTCCCTGACTGCAGATTGGTCTTCTCAAGATTGCCTCTGAGACAAGTTTGCCTCTGTGTGGCCTTTTTATGTCGATCTGTCCCACATCCATGCCCAAAGAGAAAAAAGGGATGAAAACTAGAAATTCTTGGAATTCTTTCTAGAAGATTATGAACTGCATGAGGACGTGAATTTCTGAACCCCATTCCACTCTTCAGAAAATAAAAATGTTTTAAAATAAAGATAATCATTATTGTATCTGGTATCAAGTAAACATCAGATGGAAGAAGAGGTGTTTTGAAAGAATGCAAGTGGATGAAAATTCTTTCCACAACAGTAAGCCAGGGGAGGTGACAAAATTATTATTCTCAAAGACTGAAATGAAAACTTCAAACCTGATAAAATCCCCGAGCTCCCCAGATTAGAGAATGGCACAGAGTTCAGTATAAGTCCCAGTGAAAATGTAACATTTTAAATATTTTATGTGTTTCTTTATTTTTAATCTTTTCCTGACTAAAACAAACAAAAAACATTAAAGCTTGCTTACAAAATACACCAATAAAATATATTTTTAAAAAGTCACAGAGGACATTAGGAAGAAGGGAAAATTAAGTTTAGGAGAAATAATGTAAGGCCAGGGATAAGATTAATATAAAAATGCCTGCCATAAAAGCCCTCTACACTTGCTAGAAATGGACCACAATTTGACTCTGAGCTTCCTAGATGTCAGTGCAAAAAAAGAAACAAGATCAGCTGTATTATTCACAATATCCATTACATAAAAACAAATCAGATGCTTAATCTTGGAATTAAACATCTGACCAGAAAGTAATTTCTTCCATATGTTTTCATCCAAAGGGCCTGTGGGATTTAGTAAAAAAGGTCCTAGAAACATCTTTATAGTAAATAAAACAGAGTGCCTTGATGTTGATGGTCTGCCTTATTTAAGTCAATGGCATGACTTCATGTAGGTGCAAATAAAATAATCCTACCAGGGGTGGAAAGCATGTGTTCATCCAAGATGTAGTGTTCAATCCCAAAGTAAATGCTAACAAGGACAAGAGCTCTCATGCATGAATGAATGACTGTCATTCAGACACGTCTTCTAACTGTTTCTCAATTCAACAAAATGTTTGTTAAGAATGAACCAAGGGTGAGTTTGAGGTTTTGGCTCTGATCTGACAAGGACTAGAATATTCAATGTTGGTGATTAAGTGCAGACTCCAATGTTTGAACAGGCAGCTGAGATGGGAGCAGGGTTTACAACTTCTTCTGAAAGTCAAGAAACCTGAATGGAGCCATTAGGCTCACTGCAGAAAAAAATTTTTTTTACCCATGTATGGTGACAGATGTATTTTGTGATATATACAAATATCAAATAATTATGTATACCTGAAACTCATATAATGTTACAATTATACCTCAATTTAAAAAAAGAGAAAGAAAATATTGCCCAGCTTCCTATTATTAGCAACTAGGGGGTTAGTCATCCAGGTTTTTAACAAAGTACTTGTTATAGTCAACAAATATTTACTGAGAGCCTACTCTGTGTAAATCACTGTTATGTCCTGGAATATAGCAGCATTCAAGAGAATGATGGTAGCGTACCTTCCAGACATGTGCTGTCCCACAGAAGGGGACCAGGCAGGAACCAGACAGGCCATTTTAGTTACACCCTTACACACACATGACTAAGAACCACAGGTTCTTAGGCTAGTATTGATGAACTTTTCAGGTACAAGGACCATTTTTAAAGCCCCTTTCTCCAAATGTGTATAAAATTGAAACTTTGGACCTGGTTGATTGAAAAATATGTAAAGTGACAGATTCCCCTTTTATCAAAATTACACATGTACTAAATGCTCCCTGCAGAAAAAAAAAATTTTTTACCCATGTATGGTGACAGATGTAATTATTTTGCGATACATAAAAATATCAAATTATTATGTAAACCTGAAACTCATATAATGTTAAAATTATACCTCAATTAAAAAAAAGAAAGAAAACCCAACCACCTAGATAAGCAATAAGTGGAGATAAAAATCACCAACAATTTGGCTGCTCAGCCTCTAGGGCAGATGAAAGGCAAAGCTCTTATCTATTCCTCTGTACAGAAGCCAAAGGGGAATCAAATATTCTCTCTCCCAGCTTCTTTATAACTAGTACATCGTCACTGAATCTAAACTTAACCAGTTGGGTACCCCTACCAAAGACTTTTAATGGTAAAGGAGTGATGCAAAGGCTCTGTGGTCAGTCAGAGAAAATTCACAGCATAATCCTGAGGGGCCAGCAACAATAATGCCAGGGCTGATGCTCCAAGTTGACTACTACTGGGGGGATAACACCATGTCAAAATGGTCTCCCTGATTTAAGCAGAAGATCCTAGAGTGACAGTCACTTTTCTGATGTGTCACTGAGCAGCCCCTTGAAATAAATGGAGACTGAGTCCTCTTGAAAAAAAACCATGCAATAACATTAAATATATATATTCTGTCTTACTCCTGCATTTTCCACAGAGGATCTTAACATGCATCAGAGAAACTGTGCTCTGCGGAAAGGAATGAGCCAGATCTTCCAGGGGATTTGGGACACTAACTTGAACTAACACTAATCATTCGGAGACTAGGACACACTGGGTTGGGTGATAAAAGGAGCTTTAACTGGAGTCCTGCTCACAGTAGTACTGGTGGAATCCTGAACCCATTACTCCTCCAGGGCCAGGAAATAGAGTTGTAATAGATGCCCTAACCCTCAGGTGGAAGCCCCACATTGGCTCTGTGATCCAAAAGGTAAGGGCTATTATCATAGAAAGGGGAAGCCCTTGGAGCCCTCCTCCCCAACAAATAGCAAATCTAAAGGAAAACTGCAACCTGAGAGGGAGCACAGATTTTAATACCGCTGTGAATGTGTTCAAGGTATGTGGATCGGGGTGGGGGGAAGGGGAGCAGTGTTGTCGGCAGGATGGAAGGATGGTCGCAAACGGTTCCTCTCACAAGCCTACATGACTGGCCCATCTGGCCAGTGCAGAAGAAGGGAGTACATCTCCTCCATTTGGCTTCCGGGCACTGTGCTGGATGGAACCTGACCACCTCACTATTCTATAGGTCATCATGCTGGTCCACTGCACTGATGATATCATACCTAGAATTGGTGAGGTACCTGAGATGCTCTGTACATGGGTTCACTGAGTTTTCCCAAATATTGTCAACAATTCATGGAAAGATATTGATTCTTTGGCCTCTCCCTCATGATGACAAAATGGCTGCCATGGCTCAAAATGTCAAGTTCACACAACAATGTCCCAAGCAAGAAGGAAGATGACAGGCCAAAAAGGGCTATTCACTTTCCCTAATCAAGGTAGAAAATCTTTCCCAGAAGTCTCTCCAGAGGACTTCCTCTTATGTTAGACTGGCTAGAATTGAGTCGCATACCCAACCCAAGACCAATCACTGGCAAAAAGGAACAGGAGAGATTCAACCTCTACTAGTGATCTGCTGGTGATCAAATAGTGATTCAACTCCTGAGGTAGGGCCCATTGCCTTTGTAACAAAATCAGCTTCAGTAAGCCTAGTGGCAATGAGTAGGGAACCAGCAGTGTCTGCCACAGCCAGTACTTCTGTCCTGTCACCATCTAATGTTGAAAATCAATCCAAACTAAGTTGTCAGTAAAGCCACAGACATCATCTTTGCAAGAGAATGATGATAGTGTACCTTCCAGACATGTGCTGCCTAATATAGAAGCCACCGACTATATGTGATTATTTAAATTTAATTTAAAATTAATTAAAAGAAAATAAAAATTTAAATATAGTTCATTGGTCACATCTGCCACATTTCAAGTGCCCAGCAGCTACATTTGGCTAGTGGCTACTCTACTGGACAGCACTGACCTAAAACACTTCTACCATCACACAGAGTTCTATTGGCAAGCACTGCTTCTCCTGCTGTGTGACTCCCAGTGATCCAGAGGCTTCCCCTACAGCCATGAAATAAGGGTTTCCCTGTCCTCACTCCCCACTCCCCATGCCTTCACCAGGCACAACCTGAGACTGGCGAGCTGAGGCTCCTCCAAGCCAGCAGTCACAGAAGCCTTCTTACCTGCTGGGTCATATCCAACACCCAGGTCTGTAATGAGACCCTTGTTTTCATGGTCTCATTGAGCCCATCTTGACTTAATCCTTGGTCCATCTCTCTGGGCAGGAGAGGCTGTGGCCAGGAGCTGGACAGAGCAAGTAGGGTTATCACAAGATCAACATTTAATGGTCAACTTGTCCTATACCAGGCACCCTGTGAGCAGTGATCATGAATTCACCTACGGCCCATGTGTCCAAACACATACCTCTTATATCTCATCATCAGGGAACTAGGGCTGCAGAAAGTACACAGAATGAGACACACAGGTTTCAGGGCAGGAAGTCTACAGGAAGCACTGGCCCTCAGGTCCACTCCATGGACACAGCTGACATTGTATTTGATGGTCTATAAAAGGGTGCTCATTCTGAGCTGTGGCTGTGAAATGGGGATGCCTCCTGTGATAACTGCCTTTTCATCCACTCTAACCTCAAGGGGCCTGACAATTAAGGCTGCCAGCTTGGGTGAGGCTCGATACATTCATTCCTGGGGGAGGTAAAGGTCCCATTTAGCTTTTAGAGACCACAGTTACTTTCTGGCCACTCTAGGCCAGCACCATTCTCCTGCAAGGCTGGATCTTGAGAGACTCATGGTCAAGCTCTGACTTCATCTGGCCAGGCAGATTTTAAAGGAGGCCCAAGCTGAGTGGCTTCAAGGGTACCTGCTTATAGCATAGGTCAGCTGCTATTCCCCTTCCTGCCTACCAGAGACTCAGATGTAGACAGAGCCTCATGAAATCACCCTGAGGCCACAGCCAGGGCAGCAGGTACAGACACCCTTTCCCGGGTTGCATGCTGAGGCTGTATTTTGCCAATATTGCACTGGATTGAAGATGCAAGCATGCTGCTCTGCTCAGGTCAGCTGGCCGCCTGCTCCTGGATGCCAAGCAGAACTGGCTGGTGTCCTGCTTTGCACAGATGCTCCTTCAATCATTACTCCCAGGTCCATGTGCTCCTCAGCAGATGGCGGCGGTGGATAGGATGGGATAGGATGGTTCAAGCATGGTCTGAGAACAGGTTTCTGCTGATGGAAGACTGCCTCCCTGCCAACTCCCTCAGCCAGGGCAGGGGTGCCCTGGAGGGCCTGTCCCCCTCTCCCCATCCTGGCCCAGCAAGGGTACAGCAGGTGCTAAAGCCAGGGACTCTGACTCACAGAGTTTCCTCCCAACATTCTTAACAAACCTTCATTAGACCCCTAAAGTTCAGGTACAACTGAGGTGATTGACCCCCATATGAACACCAGCTGTCATGGAGATCTGCCGTCCTCGGCCCTAGCCAGGTAGGTCATGAAGGGGAGAATATACCACCACAAAATGTGCCACTTAGGCGTGTGGATTATTTCCAGCTGAAGGCAATCAAGATCCAGCCGACTCCGGAAAAGCTTTTCACTTCCCTTAACTTCCTAAGAGAATTCACTTAGGGGCCCTGGCCCAGAAGGACAGCTTCTACCAGAGATCATTTTTTTACCTGCATCACAGGAGAAACCTCTGATTACCCAACAGCTGCCCTTCGCATCTTCCTGTGAACGGCCCTCCTCGCCCTTGCAGCCCCAGCCCCTAGCCCAGCCCTTGGCTCCGGATGGCATACAAGCCTCAACTGCCCACTGCCTTTGGGTCTCGTCTTTGTGGGGCTCCTAAATGTACATAATTACCTTTGTTGATGTCTGATTAAACTGTCATAGGCCAATTTAATTATTAGACTGGCTAAAGGACCTTGAAGGGAGAAGGAAAATTTTCCACCCCAGGGATAGTGGTGCCTCTTTGGCCACTGAGCGGCAGGGTGGGCGGCCGCAGCCCCTGTCAGACTTATGCCTCCTTCCACCCCAGCCTCATTCTTCTGTGGGTCCTGGGGGCTCCCCAAATTTCCTTCTCCTCCATGATCTTCCTCACATTTAAGATCTTTCTCCCTCTATCTGGCTCCCCAGGAAGCCCTTAAAGCCTCCACAGCCCCGCCTTTCTTGTACCTCCCAAAACAATTGTCTTCAAGGAGAAAGAAGGGTATGGAGAGAAAAACGAGAGGAAGAAAGGGTGATGGGAAAGAGAAGAGGCAAAGGTGCGGACAAGGGGAGGGGAGGAGAAGACATCACGTAAGAAGGAATAAGGAAAGGAGAAAGAAAGTACAAGCAACTCCCAGATTACCCCGTGATTTCCCGTCAGCACCTCTGGCTCACTCTACCTGCCATGCTTGGCTGGAAGCACATTGTTTCAGAAATCCTGGCTTCACTCTACATCTCCTTTGAACACCAGAGAAATATGAAGAAGCCTATTTGTTTTAAGATATATTCCAGGGCGTGGAGAGAGAGGAGGAAGAATATTCTTGGCCTCCTGCCTTTTTTTTTTTAAGGTCTTTGCAGCTTCTTGTTAATTTAGTACCTGAACCTTTGCCATGCAAATAACACAAGGAAAGATAAACTTCACTGGCCCTGGACTCTGACCTTTGTTTAACACTCACGCCTCTCTGATCCATCCTCCATCCCACTACTGGGAAGTTTGGAATTGTTACCTGGGAATTTAGAGCTAGCGAATAGATACCTGGAGAGACAGAGCACGTTGGTTTAGGCAAGCCTTGTCAGAGAGTACAGGAGGAGTGCATGGCAGAGATGCTCCATAAACGCAGACTGAGTGACCGAATTAGTGAGCTGGTGCTGGGCCCCAACCCTGATTCTAGCCCAGGGCTTTTTGCTCCAGATCTTGGGCTTTTCCCAGCCCAGCCCTGGATCTCCACTCTGAACAAAGATGGTATACAGGGGCAAAAGGTCATATTAACTAGAAACCCAACAAAGATCTGGGGCCCCTCCGCCAAACACTGGCTAAAACAACTGCTGGGTGATCAGCCCTAGGACAAGCCTGTGTGTACATCTTTGAATCCCTGCTTCTTGCACACTGTAGAGGCTCAAAAAAGGATTGCTTTATCAAATGGACATACATCCTCCCAGGGGAGATGTTTCAGCATAATTATAGGGGGCAGGACACAGGGTTACTAGAAGAGCAGATTGAGAATTACATGGAGGAGAGACCTGAGTATTATCATCTTCTTGACCCAAAAGGACCTTTGGTCTATACTGTGTAACAGAGAAAGTAAAGAGTCTTGACCAGCACTGTCCAATGCCATAACTACTAACCACATCCAGCTATTTGCATTTAGTTGAAATTAAATAAAATGTAAAATTCAGTTCCTCAGCTGCACCAGCCAGATTTCACATGCTCAGTAATTGCCACACATGGTTAGTTACTACTGCATTGGTACAGATAATATAAAACATTTGCATCACCATAGAATGTTCTGTTGCAAAGCTGCTCTAGATTCTGAAATGAAAGGAAGTGCATTCCTGCTTCTGACCTGGACTACTGACCTCCTCTTGTCCCCTTTGCCCCCGAACTAGATCAAAGCACCATCAGCACTTCACACTGGCTCCCCTTGAGTCTCTGCTCCAAAGGGAGCAACACCCTCTGCCTTGGGTTTCAGCCCCCCATCCCCCCCGGTGCCCTGCAGGTGATAAGTACTTGTTGAAATAATGAGCCCTCAATTAGTTTTTGTACATGCTAAAGGTCCCACATGTGAGTCAAGCGGCAGGAGGAACAGAAGAAACCCCGCTTCTCTTCTTTTCTTACCTCCCTACCCCCTTCTCTGGTGGACCCCCGCCCCTGCCCACCCCCCAACTCCAAAGCGGCACAGTTAGAGGCAGGCCCTGCCTCCAAAAGTTACAGTCCCCAAACCACAGGGACTCCTCAGAAAGATCTGCGCCAGGTCTCAGACCGATCTAACTTGTGAAGGTGTGTTTGTTCACCTCGTAATTTTCTGTGTTCCTCCACCTTCGGCTGCCCTGCACCTAACAGGTGCTCGACACATGTTGAACGGATGAACGGGTGGGCTGATGGATGGAGGGCCGGCTCGGGATCCCAGCGTCCGCCACAGGGGCTGGGGGAGCAGCCCCGCTAGAGGGCTCGGGAGAAGCCCCAGGCCCCCGCCCGCCCCGCGGGCCCGGGGTCCAGCGGGCCGCGGCCCTTGGGGGCGTGTCCTCCCGGGCCCGGGCGCCGCCGCCTGGAGCAGCCGGCCAGGGGCGCAGCAGGACCGCGGCGGGGCAGAGAGAAGGCGGCGCCAGCATGGAGCGCGAGCTGGAGGAGCTGGAAGCCCGGCCCGCGCGCGCGGCGGCGCCGCCCTTTCAGGCGCTGGTGGAGGCGGCGGGCGGCCGCGGGCAGGTGCTGCTGGTGGGCGAGCTGTGGGAGCGCGAGCAGAGCCGCGCGCTGCTGCGGGACTTCGCCCGCGCCCTGTTCCCGCAGGAGAAAGCCGCGGGCAAGCCCGGCCGTGCGGAGGCCGAGGGCTCCGCGGCGCCGGCGCCGGGGGCGCAGCGGGCGCCCGGGACAGCGGGGTCGCGCGCCCTCCGCTCGCCGCTCGTCTTCGTGCTGTGCCGCGCGTCGTCGCTGGCCGCCCGGGAGCCGCGGCGCCGCCTGCGGGAGATGCTGAGGGACGTGCGCGGCCGGCGGCGGGCTGGCGCGGCGCTGGTCGGGGTGCTGGTGGCCGAAGCCGGCCCCGAGGACGCGGAGGCTCCGGGGTTGCGGCTCCTGGAGGCGCTGCTGCGCGCCGTGTTCGGCCGCCAGGCGGGGGGCCCCGTGCAAGCGGCCGCCTACTGCCCGGGCCACCCGGCCTCCAGTCTGGCGGTCCAGGCGGCCGCCTGCAGGGCTCTGCAAGCCGCCGGGCCCGTGTCACCAGGTGAGACTGAGCGCGGCCCCGGAGGGCGCGGAGCGGGGGTGGCGGCGGCGGGGGAGAAGGCCCCAAGTTGTAACCCTTTAGGCCGGCCCCCCCTCGTTGAGCACTTAGGTAAACTGAGGCCGACAAAGGGGAGGTGCCTAGCGCGAGGCCTCGCAGATGGCGCGGGGCGGGCCGGGGAAGGATCGAGTACACGGGAGATGCAGGGGGTTAGACAACCTGAGGGCAGGGGTGGTTGGTGGAGAGAGGATGGACTCGGCAGAGCAAAGATCTAGGAGCTTCCGGGAGAGAGAAGGCACGGGAAAGCCTTGGGGTGCGCAAGTGACAAGGGAAGTGGGGGCGGAAGGGACAGAAGTGGGACTAGGGGTATTGGCGCTGGGAGTTTCTTGGACTGTGTGCAGCTTGGGATGCTGCGGGAGGCTCGGCGTGGAAGCGCCGCGGGGTCACGGGAAGAAAGCCAGGAATAAGATGCCGCGACTTGGCGGTGTGGGGAAAGGGTGTGAGGCACTAACGGCACAGAATTTTCTGGTCCTTGGCTACCCGCTCTGTCCGTGCACCCACTGCTGTGTATCCCTTCCCTTCTCACTCTCCTGAAGTATGGGGCGGAGAGGAGGGTGCCTACTGACATTCCTAGAACGGTCACACTCTCCTGCGGCCGGGTACAAACCGTTTTGCAGGAGCTTTCCAAGCGTCCCAGGATTAAAACATGGATTGAAGTTTCCCTGAATCTGGCAAAGCTGGGGCATTTGGAGTGCTCTCTGCACTCCCAGCATTCCTCACCACCCACACTTCCCCAGCACCTGCAGCCTCTGCCAGCCCTTCTTGCTAAAAAGTTCACGGAGACAGAGGTTGTGTCCTGCCTCCCTGGGCATTAGTGTGTTAAACAGCAACGGGAAGATGCCAGATTCTCAGAGGGGCCTTTTCCAGCCAGAACTGGTGCCTCTGACATCACAAATGACATAGACCCACATGCCAGCCTGACCTGCCTGGGTAAAGGCCATCCCTCTCAGCTGTAGAACTGCCCTAACCCCCCCACCCACCCCCACCACACTCCCCCATGCGTACAACTCCGTTCTTTTGAGTCTGTGAGGAAGAATTTGAAACTAGGGCAATTGACAGTTGAAGCTCTTGGTTTGCTGAACAGAAAATCTCTATCTTGTCAAATACCTTCTGACCCACTGCCTCTGGGACTTTGTGTTGTTTTAGCAGAAGAAGCCTGGGAGAGACCAGGCCTCCCGGCACTGCTTGCATGCTTTTCCTGGGGTCCCTGGAGTCGGGGGAAGGACCCAGATGCCGCCTTCCCCAGTGGCCCAGCTCAGGGTGAGTGTGTCACCTTCCTGGCCTCCTGGACCCCAGGGCCAGGTGTTTGGGATAATAGAAGTGGCCATGAACCTTAGTGATAAAATGGATGAATATCTATGGAGCACTTGCCATGTGCAGGGTGTGGGGGTGAGTGACATGAGGTGCTACAGGCTCACTCTGCAGAGCTCTAACCCCATGAGCCTCTGACTAATGAAGGCCATGTGGGCAGGGCTATAATGCAGGTGTCAGCCACATGCACTGTGAGACACATGGAGTCAAACACGTTCCAACTCCCCCTGAGGATCCCAGGAGAATCCCAAGCAAGTGACATTTAACCTAGGGTTGGAAGATTGTCTTAGGCAGAAATGGGGAGACTTGGAGAGGGAGCACCATGAACAAAAGCTTGACAGCATGATGCCCTGATCCGAGAAGGGACCCCTGTCAGGAGTGCCCAAGACTGAGGAACAGAAGGAGACTGGGAAGGGCGGAAGCTGAAGGGGAGAGTTGGGACCATATGGGGCTCTGGACCCAAGTCTCTCAGCAATAGTAAGCCACTGGTGATTTCTGAGCAAGGGTGTCAAGATTAGGGGTGTGTTTAGAGCTGTGACTGGACTATAGGATCAGGGAGAGACCAGAGGCAGAGCCCAGCTGGGAAGGGCCTGCGTAGTCCCAGGAGGGACAGTGGGTAGGCTGCTGGACCCAACCAGGGAAGTGTTGGAACCGATAGGAAGAAACTCATCTCGAGGCCTTTCCTGGGGTAGAATCATCAGGCCGCTAAAAGGAGGTGAGGAAAAAGGAAACACAGGTCTGCCAGGTCCCCAGAAGCCCTTGAGGCATTGAGGCTGTGTGGCGGAGAAAGGAAGTACTCATGAGCAAGTCACATCCAGCTGGATGCGCATGGACCCCACACCGCCCCTGACGTGTCCTGAGCCATGTAGCTTTGTATCTCCTTGTGCTCTTTAGATCTTAATAAATTCACTTCTGTGTAATATTCAAATCACCTGCAGAATGCATCGGATATTTAAAATATTTAATTGCAAAAAGGTAAATTCAATGTCTCCATTATCATTTTGGATATATCTGGAAGCTAACAGAAAAAAATAATAAAGCAAGGAATCAATTCTATATAAATCTTAGATAACATCCCTTTTTGTAGCATATAATAAATCATTTAATTTCATGTAGAAGTAGATGTATTAAAATGCAATTGCATTTATGGACTATACATGTACATCTATAATATATATATTGTGGGATTATACATACATATATACATAAAGTTTATATATTTGTTTAGAATCCTCTTTCTTCATCAATAACATTGTGACTTGCAATATTCCCTGGTGATAATTATATATCAACAACATGTTATCTTTTTGGGACACAGTAATTACAGATTCATATGCAGTTGTAAGAAGTCATATGAAGAGATCCTGTGGACACATTGCCCTCTATTTCCCTCATCGGTAGCATCTTGGAAAACCATAGAATAATATCATAACCAGGATATTGACATTGAAACAATCCACAGATCTTAATTGTATTTTACTTGTATTGTGTGTATGTGTGTTTTTAATTTTTTGGAATTTTATACGCCATTAATAATGATGATACATTAATGCCTGAATCCCATTACGTGCGTGAGCCAATCTATTTGTTGGACATCAAATCAGGATGCTTAGGAAACCAGGACTCAAACTAGCACAAGCAGCAAGGGCACTCATGATCTCACCTAGAAGACAATCTAGAGGTGGAGTCAGCTTCCAGGCTGGTTGATTCAGGCACCCAGTGACCCCATCGAAGACCAGGATTCTTTCCTTCTCTCTGCTGGGCCATCCTCCTCAGGCTGGTAGCAAGATGGCTGCTGCAGTTCCACTAATTATTCCTAATTATTTCCTCAGGATAAAATCCTAGATGTGGAATTGCTGGATCAAAGGATATGTACATTTTTAAGGTTTTTGACATGCATTTTGTTCTGTTTTTTAAGTAGATATTCACTGGGGCCACTTCATCCCTTTCATTGCTCACTTACTCAGTCATAAACTTTGCCATCTGATTGGGCGATTCCTTCTCGTATGTTCCAGATAACTTCCAAGCCCCTGAGGAGGAGCTGGCCCTGACAGCCTTATTTCCCAACGGAGACTTTGAGGATCTTGGAAAGGGGTCTACAGCCTGTGATGGAGTTGTCCACACTCCTACTGAGCCTGCTGGAGACTCAAGATGAGGCTGGCCCCCTGGGCTGCCCGGGTTCTAATCCACAAACTGGAGGCAGGCTCCTCATGAGCCCCCGTGCCTCCATGTTGACCTCGGGCTGGTGGTAACGGCGAAGGCCCTAGCTGCCGGGGCTGCTGCACTGACAGTTACCAGCTACAGGGGGACTTACTAAGCTAAGCAGGACCTAGGAAACTGTACCTAGGAACCTGCACCCCCTCCTCAGATCTGCTCACTCTCAATCACACTGAGGGCTTTTTGGTCTCTCTGTACCGCAGTTTCTCCTTGCCATTGAGACAGGTGGCTATCTGCTTTGAGACGTTGCAGTGCTGTGACACCCTGTGGCATGCTTGCATGAGCACCCATCATTTCAAGTGTGGCTGGAAAGAACTGTGGACTAGAAGTCACCAGATGTGGAGGGGTGGCCTTGGACATGTCACTCAACCTTTGGGGCTTCTGCTACTCAAACACATGACAGGTCTGCCAGTCTGGTGGCTGTCAACCAGGGCCAGGTTGCTCCTCCAAGCAGCATTAGAAACTTGTATATGTGGAGTATGTGAATGTGACTGTGTGTACTGGGGGATCACTGTGACAATGGGGTGCCCCTAGCATTTACTAGGCATCTCACAATGTGTGGGACAATCTCCAACAGCAAAGAATCGTTCTACTCAAAACGCTAATTGTTCAAAAAGCTTCTCTTGGAGAAGCTCTGAATGAGCCAATCCCTTTTGAAATTCTAGGAAGAGCCTTCCAGAGCAGGGAAGTTTGGGTTTCCTGGACCTGGGCTTCCAGAGCAAGCCAGAATACAGACTATACCACTGCCGTGGGAACCTGCTGGGCCAGGGCCAAGATATCTGTGTGCTATAGGCCCAGGAGAGAAAGAGCCTTGCATACCATGAGAAGAAAGGGACCTCTTTCTTCTTCTTATTGATGTTGACTTTCTGTGCCAAGTTCTTTGAGAATAAGGATGCTGGGAACTGACCACAGCACCAAACAGAAAGAAAGTTATAGCACGGATTATGACATAGGACTTGCTCTAGATCTTAGGCCCTCGCCCAAGGTCAAAGCAAACCCAGCCCAGAGGTGCCGAGTTTCTGAATCCATTTTTCTCTGTCTATAAGTCAGACAGAGTCAGTGATGTTCCCTTAAAAGCTAGGAAGGCCATCTGTCACTCAGAGGGAATTTTGCTTTACCTCCCTTGCCTTCGTCACCTGCCCCTGGAGAAATCCAGTCTTTGGAATGGCAAGAGCAGCCTCTGGTTTTCTCTGGTAGGAAGTACCATCCCTGGAAGGGGCTGAATTCATTCATCCATGGATGACTCGGTCAGCGTTTTGTAATGTGTGTGCCCAGTGCTCTGCAAGGTGCTGCCCAGCTTCCATTAGTTATTCTGGTTCTCTCTCTGCTAGCGCCAAAATGGGAAACTTCCTGTGGCTGAGGGGCTCTGTGATACCGAGGTTGGGCCATCCCTACCCATGTCTCAATTTATTCTCTATAATAAGAAGCCTAATGCTATCCCTCCTCTGCCCCACGGGGTTAGTGTGAGGGCAAGCAGGATGGCATTTTATTTGGGGTTGGTTAGCAGCAGGGGTCATTTTAATAATGCAAGGCTGTCTCACCAATAGAGGCACCCAGCTGACTTCCTTCTACACGAGAACGAACTCAATGAATCACTGTTGATTTTGTTTTAAAAATGGGGAGAGGTATTTTTGAAGCCGCTGTGTTTTTCTGTTTCTCTGTTAATTTCATTGTAATCATTTGGTTGGAGTTATATTATTTGGCGAGGGAAGGGAGCTTTTTTTTAAGTCAGGAAATTTATATGGCAGAAGTTACAAGGCAGCAGCCTCTGCCGTGTTTAAAAATCTTTTGCATTTGGTGCCAACATTTGAAACTTGAGAGATTGCAGATTTTAAAAAAGCTAGTTTTCTGGGTGGAAGATGGGACATGTCATGGTCTCCCCCACACACAATTTAAACCCCCTTCCTGCCCACCTATCCCACCCCTTTACTGTATTTTGCTCATACACATGCCCCCTGCCTGGTTCTGGTCCAGTGGGCATTTGAATTTACAAGCCTCTGGTGTAAAGGGTGGTGTTTTCATTACCTTCAGTATTTCCTGTGAATTGTTAGAAAGAAGGCCTTTTTTAAATAGTAAGATTCAGGTTCTGCTTCCCAACTGATAAACACAGGGCTGAGATCCCTAGAGGCCTGTTGTGGCTTCTTTGAGCCAAGGCTAAGATAAGCACCATCCTTTAAGAAACAGTCTAGTAGCAGTTTTCTAGCTGACAGGCTTAAGTGCCAGAAGGGATGGCCTTGGGGATGGGTTCCTTCCCCAAAGACCCTTACAAAACACAAAGATTGGTGGGCCTGTCTGAGGGCAGAGGCCCTGGCCTGGGTCAGTGGTACCAGGAGCCACTGGTGAGGGGCCTCCAGTCAGGTCACAGTCTGGGCTCTTGGATACTAATCTTTTTAATATGGTACTAGTTGTTCTGCTTCTGACTTGAATTGGTAATTTATATCTAATAAAACCAAACAGTACCTCATTGCTGTCTTACCGAAAACAGAATGGATCTCCCCCTTTATTCTCAGAATGTGTTCTTACAGGAGCCCTGGGGAGCAGGGCATCTGGGCAAGTGGTGGGAGCTTTTGGAATAGTCTGGCCTGAAAGTCCACCAGTCCCATCCTGGGTGACATCTCCACAACCCTGTTGGCTGGGATTGGAAAACATGAGCTGGAAAGTAAATGTTTAAAAAGAGATTTTTTTAAAAGATAGCATTTAGCTTGGCATTTAAGAGTGTGTGTGTGTGTGTGTGTGTGTGTGTGTGCACACACACACACACACACACGCATATCTAAAAGACAAAATGGTCTTAACTGAGTTTCAAAGAGCTCTTTGTAATATTTGTGTCACAGTTTCTCTCCTCTCAAAGTATTTGTCTCCCAGACTTACCAAACAAGAGGAGTCCATAGGTTGTCAAACCCAAAATAGAACAAACTTGCAAAGGGGCTAAGGGCTGAGACCCCCAAACCTGTGATCTAAACAAGCCCCTCTTACCCAGCGCAGAGGATCTAAGACCCATCCTCACTGGGGAAGGTTGATGACAGCCTTGTCAACCTGAAAGCACTCTATACTTCCAAGTGTAGCGGACCCACACTGCCAGGCTGCTCCCATGTGTGTAGGAGGCCTGCTCTTTGTCCTGTCCGGGTGGCAGACACAGCCAGCACAGTGAAGGAAGCAGGTTGTTTTGTAACCAAGGGTGTATAATCACCTTCTGACCTGTTTTGTATGTTAGTGGATCAAGGAGTGAGCCTGGACAGGCTATCACTTGAGTAATCTTAACGTTCAAGGGGAAACAGGGCGCAGGCGGGTCGCCAACCAAGATCCTGCACGAATGCTCGATGCCTTCGGTTCCTGAGCCAGAGCCCGCCGGTTGCATTATACGTGCAGCTGCCTACCTGGGAGTAGAGGCAGAGCCCACCCCACTGGGTCTCATACTGGTTTACATGGATCTCAGAATCCAACTCCAAGGGACCAGGGTGTGGGATAGCTCTGGTCCAAAGTCAGGCTGGGCACTGGGCCCACTCTAGTGCCAGGGCTTTGGCAAGACTGAGAACCCCACCTGGCTTCCTCGCTGAGCTCCACAGCCCCATCTGGGGCTCTTGCTGCTTGTTCCTTGGCAGGTGAAATTCAGAGACCCTAGGGGAGTAGTTCAGACCTTAAGTGTGAAGTCAGGCTACTTGCTGTCCTGCTCTGTGCTTATTTGGAGCAATTAGGTACTCAGCTTAGTCCTGGTGACCAAGCCCTCATTCTGAGCCCTGGTTGCAGAAACTGGGTCTCTGTCCTGTTACCCATCTGTCCCTCGGTGGATAACAAGGTCTTCTCAGAGCAGAGTGTTGCCTCGGATTATTACTCCAGCCCCAGACGACCCTAACCATGGCCACCTACTGTCCCAAGTACGTTGCCTGCTCCAGAATCTCTCATTGCCCGGGCAGCCACTCCCAGCCCCTTGCTCCCTGATAGGAGTGGGTCTTGACCTGCTACGTCTGAGCCCTGGTCTGGTTGGGCCCAGTGTAGGGGACGGCCTTTGTCTTCTCACATGTTTGTAGGCAGAATGGGAAAGCACCTTCCCCCAGGTCTGAACGCAGCACGGGAAAGCACAGGCTTGAGAACAACCGGTGCCGTCCTTGGAAGTTATCTGCCCACAAAAATATATCTTGTCCTCGAAGATGAGCCAAGACTCCTCACTCTGAGAATAGGGAGACCTTGAGGATATGTGAAAACACCGCCCCTGCTTACCAGGCAGCTTCTAAGAAAATCAACAAGGTGCTCTGGCCTGTCCCCGCTGAGAAGGAAGAGAAGTTTATAGCACTTGGCTGAGGTCCGAGAAAGGCAGTATAAAAATAAAGGTGCTGCGCCACATCGGGGCTGCAGCCATTGTCTGTCTGTGTTTTTTGTTCTCTCATTTCCCCCAAAGAAGATGAGCAGCACGTTACATCTGGCGCCCAACGTGGGGCGTCCTCTCAGAGTGAGTTGTACATATATTCAGCTCCACGCCTCCCCTTCGGACTGTTCTACTTCTGACAGCAGGCACCGTCAGCCCAGCATGCACCAGCACCAAAGAGCAGTCAAGACCAGTGAACCAGGCCACGGGGCCAGGCCTGAATGGGAGGTCAGGGACAAGACCTCAGCTAGGTCCAAATCAGCCCAGCCTAAGAGAACTAGGCACATATGTACCTTTAGGTTTTCTAGCTGCCACATTAGAAAAAAAAGAAATAGGTGAAATGAATTTTAATAATGTATTTTATTTAACCCAGTATGGCAAAAATAGTATCACTTCAACTGTAAATATAAAAAAATTTAGTGAGACATTTTGCATCTTTGAAATACTGTGAGAATTTTATACTTACAACCCAATTCAGATACTAAGTTTTTCTCCCAAATACTTGATCTGTATTCAGATTTTGTTAAAGGTATAGCTGAAAAAATAGATTCACATCCTCAGATTGTTCCAAATATACTTAAAAGTTTTCTAAAAACTAAATTGGGTCTTTACATTTCAATGGAGTGAAACGACAAATCAGTTCCTAGGTTGCACTAGCCACATTTTTTATGTGCAATAGCACCTGTGACTAGTGGCTAACAGATGGGACAGAGAGGGTCTAGAACTCTGGAAATGTGTAGGAGGCCTGTCTTGGGGGTTTCACTGTGGCCCCTCCCATCCCAGGCACTTGACCAGAGCTGGTTGGTCATCCCAGACACCCCAGGAGTGGGGCGAGAGTGGTTTCTAGCTTCAGCTTGTCCAGGGCAGCCTCCTGGTTGCCCCAAATAGGAGTTGCCTTCCTGAACATCGTACTTAAAAGGAATGCAGCCCAGCGTCTCCAAAGGCTTCCCAGGGTCTTTTGCACCTCAGTCCACCCAGGCCAATTGCAGCCCCAGCCAGGCGTTTTCCTCGGACCCCAGGAGGTCGGTGCCACTGGCTGCATCCCAGCTCTGCTCCCATGAGCAAAGCATTTCCTCTGAAAGCATGTGGCTCCAGAGCTTCCAGCCTCGTGGCCAGTGCCTGCCGGAAGCTCTGAGGTTTACTGAGTGCTCTTCTAGGCCAAACCCTGATTAGAGCCCCTCCCCCACAAGCAGCCCTGCCAGGTAGGTGGACCTGCCCCTACTACGGCAGGGCTCAGGTGACGACCCCACGACCCCAGCAGGGCGAAGTGGCAGCGCAGGGATTTGATCCCGTATGTCCTGGCTCCGACGCCTGTCCTTTCCACCCCATCACCCTGCAGCTCAAAAAGCAATCAAGCCCGGTTCTCGACAGGACAACCGAGCCCTTCTAAGAGCCAGGACTTAAATGCCAAGCTGCTGGGGTTGAGGGATTGAGGTGGGTGCTTACAGGGCGCTCGCCGCTTCGCGGATTCGCCGCCTTCTAGGGAATATTGTGGCCACTAGAGGGCGCCGCACGAGGCCTGTTCCCGGCAAAACTGCGACGGAATCCGCCTCAAGGGAGACGCACAGGCACGGAAAGCAGGTGCGGGCTTCTCTCCTCACCTGCCAGAGGCCCCTGCCCAGCCAGTACCTGTGGGAGCACGCAGCTGACCGCGGGTGGCCTTTGAGATGTCTTGTATTGATGCCTCGGTTCTTGTTCACGGAGTCAAAGAGTGAACCTCGCAAACACTCAAAGGAGGAGAGCAAGTGAGAGGCTTTTTTTATTTAGAGATAAAATAAGAGGAAAAAGCTCCTGGCTTGCACCAGGAGGGGACAAGAGAGCCCCGAGGTGGTGTGTCGTCCAGGGGATTTATAGGCGGTTGAGAGACAAAAGGCTAGGGCTGCAGACCTGCCAGATGGTCCCAAAATGTTCATTTTTGAAAAGATACAAAGTTTTTTAATCAGTGGGTTATTTTTCAAAGTTAGCTTTACACAAGAAATTTACTGCTTTGATTTTTTTATTTTAGGATGTCAGTTTCTGTCTGGAAGCATATTAATCAAGACTGTCTGCCTTGCCTCCAAGGTGGGCTGAGCCACTGTCCGTTTGATTAAAATGCAATCTTAGCTTTAAGATAGAATTCTTCCTGAATAAGCTGGGCCTTTGAGCAGCTGCTAAAGTACATCCTACAATGGTATGTTTTAATTGACACAGTGAAAATATAGGCTATGCTGAGATACTTTTTTTTATCTGGGGAGTATTAAAACTTCTAGGTCAAGTTGCTCTTGGCTTTTTAGTTTTAACTAATTTCATTGAAGAATGCTTTGTTCCTAGTTTGATATTTTACTTTAGAGAATTAATGTGACTTTGACTTTGCTTAATTGTTTAATAGGAGTTTTGGTAGGGGTCTTTTTCCGGAGGCCCTTACCCTACTCTGACTACACCCACGGTCCCTGTCTTAGTAT